ATCAGAACCGCGCGTGCTTCGTGAGGGTCAAAGTACGGCGGATCACCTAACTCGTCCTCAGTGACGAGTTCAAATCTAGTTATTCTTCTTTCTTTCTCCCCTTTTTTGTTCGCACGATATCTCAATAAATACCACGAGTTACGCACAATCGCTGTCAATGAACATTTGGCTTGGTCTCGAATAGTCATTGTCAGCTTTTCAACGCGCTCAGTCATGCGTAACGTTATCTACGCGTAATTTTGCGTTTTTACATTATCGATCATATCAGACTAACCAATTGCTATTTCGAAATCGTATTAAGTGAGCATTAACTTTGGGTTAATGTTGAATGTGCTGTACCATAATTTTACGCGTGCGCTTCATGACGTGCGAGTACGCGTGCGTCAAAATTTTAAAATGCTCAAAATCACTTTTTGACTAAATTAGAGCACGTTTCAGGCCATTTTGAGCATTTCGAAATTTTCCACTACGCGCGCGCATTTTTACTTGCGCAGCACGTACAGAAGCTAGACATTAAGTTTTTTCATATAGTTTGGGTTCCTGACATTGTTTTCACAAATTTCCATTCTTTTTGGTCATCTTATGGCCAATAGCAATGCCTTACGTGCGCATCGAATAGAGGTTTTTTTTTAGGCGGATTTGTGCCGATATACAGTGAAAATATGCTAAAATCAGGACTATTTTTAATCCTTAGGATGATCGGTAACCCTCTTTTTTTAATACATATTCTGAAAGCTCATAAGTTGTAAATATGATTTTATGGATCATAATGGCTGATCGGACATTGTGACGTCATCATATTGGCATCTGAATTCAAAGAAAGTGAATTATAGCTATGACGTCATTTTTGAAAATACGCATTTGAGCGTATCTCGCTTATCCTTGATCGATCGTCTTCCAACTTTGAGTATGTTATACATGAGACAATTCTCTTTCTTATATTTGACATCTTTTTACATTTTGATGAAAGAGAAATGAGGGGGTCAGAAAAAACAATTTTTTTGACCATGATGACGTCATCAAATTGTAAAAAGAAGTCAAATATATGAAAGAGCGAGAAAAAGAGCGAGACCAATTGTAAAAATTGTTTTTTTCTGACCCCCTCATTTCTCTTTCTTCAAAACGTTGATGACCCCATATAATCTTAACCATTCGTCATTTCTAAATCATATTAGGTGAGCATAAGCTTCAGGTCAAGGTTGAATGTTATGTACCTTAATTTTCCGTTCGCGCTTTTTAGCGTGCACGTACGCGTGCGTCAACATTTATATATGCATAAAACCATGAATATTTTTAATCAGTTATAGCTCTTTAGGATGAAAAGTGACCCCCAATTTTTATTACATAATCTGAAAGCACATGAGTTGTAGATACGATTTTTTACTTCATGATGGCTGATCGGACATTGTGACGTCATCATATTGCCATTTTAATTACAAAACTGAATTTTTATTTATGATGACATTATGTTTATACTCGTTTGAACGTATCTCGCCTATTCTTGATTGATTGTCTCCTACCTGTGAATATGTTATAGCTAAATCAATTCTCTTGAAGACGTGTCCCTTTATTTTTCATTTTGATCACGTCAACATGGTGAAAAAGAATGAATTTTTGAAGCCCTTTTATCTCTTATTCTTAAAAGATGTAAAACAATAGAACAGATTGAGGGCGGCAGACTGTATTTCGACGCTATCAGACTAATATATATAGGTTATGTGAAGGGAAAGTTCGTGTGGCATTACCAACTAACAGTCGGGTTTAAATACACTTGACAATGTTTAATTTCGTGTGCTATTACTGTACACGCACACATGGTGACGTGCGTGTCCGTTAAAGTTTGAAAATTCTTCAT